TATTATTATTATTATTATGTATCTGCTAAATGTGTAAATATGTGTGTACATCTGTAACTTTTTACCTTTTTTGACCTCAGAAAAAAGAAGACCATGAAGTTGTCCAGAGCTTTGTCTGATCTGGTCAAATACACGCGGTCTGTGGGTCTCTATGACATTGAGGCACAAGGTGAGCATTTCCGTTCCCTCTGTACAGTTGTTAGCTTTTCTCACCTGATACTAACTGCATAAAGGGGACATTGCACTATCTGGGTTTGCTGGTAACTTTACCATCACTGCAAATAGTTACATTCAAAATGAAACCCAAATTGGAATGATATATATTTACACAAAATAGTTATCTATTGCTTGATAACATTTGAACAGAATGTAGGTTTAGGAGCTTAATGAAGGAAACAAAGATGCCTTTGTGTTGTTCCTGGCAGCCAACTGCAGCTGGCAGGTGTCATCGCTCAGTGAGACCAAAGCCCACCAGGTGATGCAGCAGAAAGCTGCGTCCTTCATCCAGTTCAACCAGCGGCAGCTCTCTCGCATCTACCCTTCCTCTTACCGCGTGGACTCCTCCAACTTCAATCCCCAGCCCTTCTGGAGCGCCGGCTGCCAGCTTGGTATGAGCTCGAAGGGACAGTTCACCCCAAAATCNNNTGGTGTGAGTTGCTGAGTTTTGGAGATATCTGCTGTAGAGCTATCCGTCTTCTCTCCACTATGATCCAGGATGACACTTTAAGTGTGGTGGGGAATGGTGAAACACTGATCTCTCTTTCCAAAAATGATTATCCACAAACCCTGTTGGGAGCAGTTTCATGTAGGAACCATTTTCTGTCTGCTGAACTACACCCGCCAACTGTAGCTGAACGTTGGCCATCTCAGTGGTGCTAGGTGAGCTAGCTAATGTTACTCAGCCGAGGAGGACGCCATTTATGTTAACATGCTGCTGTCAGTAGCCTTGTCCATGAGGTGATGCACACTTTCTTCTGCGCAGTAGGAAGGATACATAGGAAGAAAATATTTACGGCCGATATCTCCAAAACTCATACCAAACCAATTTAGATGGATTAATAGCACTACAGGTAAGAGGAAAATGCGTATTTTTGATATTTGATAGTCAGTAGGTCATCTGAGCCACGCTGCTGCCACTTGTATTATTAATTCTGCCAATTTGTCAAGACTTAGGTGAACAGTCATCCACTGCAGTAGCTTTTAGCCAGCAAAACATCCTGCCTGCTGACAGTAATGAAATTAACTGAACTGCTTTTTTTCAGTCGCACTTAACTACCAGTCCGAGGGCCGGGTGCTCCAGCTCAACAGAGCCAAATTCTACAGCAATGGCAACTGTGGCTACATCCTCAAGCCTGCCTGCATGTGTGAAGGTCAGCATTTACACATTTCAATAGGCAATATAGAGTTCATTTTTAAGGCATGAAATCCAGTATGTATAGTGGTCCTGCTTATTTTGTTTATGTGTGAGCATTATAATAGCACAGTCATGTGCTAATATATGGAGAGGATATTTGCCTCTTTTTAATAAAATATCCGTGTCAGTGTAATATTGATTTGAACCATATCACTAGTAGAAAACCTATTCTTGGTAGTTGGCAACTATATAGTTTTTAACTGCACTTTCTTACCCTTGCAGGTGCCTTTAACCCCAACCTGGAGGACCCGCTGCCAGGTCAAATGAAGAAACAGCTGGTGCTGAAGATCATCAGTGGACAACAGCTGCCCAAACCCAAAGACTCTATGCTAGGAGACAGAGGAGAGGTAGGACACACATGTACAACTGTCTGTTTTAAAGGGTAACTAATATATATACCATATGTAACAATATACATGCCAGAAAGTAAAGTGTATTGTGAAAAATATTGTAATATATCATGGCTTTATGTGTTTCAGTTGACATTATCTTGTAGTATGTGTTTGTGAAACGTATGCTGTTTTACAGATCTTAAATACACTTTTATCTGTATTATATAGTATGTTATTGAAGAGCATAGAATCTTTCAGTTTATCCCAGCACCTCTCTACCAAACTGCTTTGTGCATCGCTAACTTATTAAATGAAAGCCAGGGAGTTTAAAGGGGAACTTTTCACATAATAAGTTGTCATTTGTGTCTCCGGAAGAAGCTATGCAGACCTCAAGTCTGGTAGTTTGAAAATGAAAATAATCTGGGGGTGTGGAGTGAGTTTACCAGACCTTTGTAGCCATCTACAATAGCCACTACTAGCATAATAGAATGCTGCAGTAATAAGGTTTTTTTTTCCACCTCCAGTTCCCTCCCCTCGAAGTCGATGGGTTTTTTGAATGGGTTTTTAGAGGTCGGAAATAAGGTCTGTGGTTGGGTCACATTTTGTTCAACAATATATAACGGGTATTTCAATACCCCATCTGGGAATTCTGAACTTTTACATGTCTTTAAAAAAGGCGGTTACTAGCTAACAAGTAGATAAATGAGACTACAGAGGTTGTCGGTGACATTAAATGGAGACTTATCTACTCACTAGTCTGCCTTTACAGCCCTGTTGTGTTCATACAGCAAACTATTCTAAGTTGGATGTTTAGTGTTGGTGATGTTGAAGTCATGCAATCTATAGGCTATAAATAAACTACACCACAGTGTAGTACAGAATTATCTTGCTTAACAAAATGTGTAAGTATCATAAACGTTTGTTCGCCACAGAGCTTATTTCCTGCAATAATCCAAAATCCAATGGAACAATCCCATTGGCTTTTTGTTGGAATACACAGGGAGATACTTATTTCTGGGTTTTGCCTACAAAAAAACAGTGCAGTGGCATTATGGTTAATGTAGACCCCAGGTTTTTACGAGGAAGATTAACCTCACACCTTCATTGAATGGAAATCAGATTATTCCACAGTTTAAAGAAACTGCCAAACCAAGACATAATGGAATGTGATCATTGAAAGATCTTGAAACTTTTATATCAGCGCATGTGATTAACATGAAGTATGTAGTAATGCTGTGTAATGTATTTTGTCAGATCATTGATCCCTTTGTGGAGGTGGAGATCATCGGCCTCCCAGTGGACTGCTGCAAGGAACAGACCAGAGTGGTGGATGATAACGGTGAGTTGATGGAGAGGTGAACTATTCAGGTTCTTCTCTCTTGCCTGATGCCATAGAAATACCTTGTAGTGATAATGACTTAATAATAAGTGAAAAAGAGAAAATAAATTATTTCATTCATTTGTGATGTTCATGATGAATAATCCGATTTTACTGGCATGTCTATATTAATCTAGAGTTAACAAAAGGGTTCTAATCCGGGTTCCTCATAACACAGTTTGACCTTAATCGAGCTGCAATCAGCAGTCAACATGATTACATTATCCACCCAAAATAAAGCTATTTTTGGAACTGGACTATTTTCAGTGGTTGGAATGTGTTTTATGCTGTACAAGAGTGAATGTTAATGAGGCCGGATATTTCTGGCTGTGATGACTGTGTGCAGACACCAGCAGGAGTTTTAGTTAGAGGGCCTTTTTTTTTAAAGAGACAGGTTTGTTTCTCTTAGACTTTGCTCCCTCCATCAGTTGCTGCTGTCATAAACTGCCCTCCTCTTCTGCCCACCGCGCCACTGAAACTTTCACAGGAAACGACTGAAACCCAACAATGTATCTAGTTCTCCTTTATACATCCATGGAACAAAGCCAAAGGCCCGAAAGTGCCAAACAGAGGAATATATTACAGCCTATCAGCCTTGCTTTGCTCTACAAGCTTAAAGTTGGCAAGCCAGCTAGCTGAGAAAGCTACTGTGACATACAAGTGCTATCATGTTCCCAGCTAGCTAGCGTATTAGCAGTTAGCTCGCCAGCTACAGTAGTTTTTAAACTAGCCCTGCGAGTAGTCCCTACTTCACTGACATAGTCCAGTCCAGTTTCACAAGGACACACAGATGTTTTTCAGTTTGCTGTGGATGCTCGTGGTCCCTGACTACTGACTGCTCCTCGCTGCTGTTGTCTGTAAACTGAGCCATACACATTGTCCTGGTGTTTTCACAAGAGGAGCTGTGGTTTGTTGTGGTTTGCCTTTCACAATGTATGTATGTGCTGATGAGCAATGCATGGGTTGAATGTGACTTTCTACTTGTGTGTGTTTGAGCTGTCGGTATGGGTTCTGATCTATAATTGATGAGCTCAGCATGAGGGGACGTACACAGGCAGCACCTCTCAGTCTGCTCTCTTTCTCTCTCTCTCTCACACACACTCACTCACTCACTCACTCTCTCACACACACACACACTGAATAATTGATGTGTACTGAGCTCACTCTGACTCTGTCCTGGACCGTCCACTCTCACTGTCCTCAGTCTATCACTCTCTCCTCCCTGTTTATCTGCCTACCTTCTCCTCTCTTCTCTCTATTTTTCACCCTCGTTCTCCTGCTGCTCTAATTTTTTTCCTGTCTTTTCCCATTTTCCTTTGACCTCCCTCATCCCCCTCCCCTCTGCCCTTGCCTGCGAACCCTCTCGGGACGGTCCCGTAGGGTTCAACCCGATGTGGGAGGAGACTCTGGTGTTCACAGTCCACATGCCGGAGCTGGCCCTGGTGCGTTTCCTCGTGTGGGATCATGACCCCATCGGCCAAGACTTCATCGGCCAGCGCACCATCGCCTTCAACAGCATGATGCCAGGTAAGACGTGATGAAGCACCTGCTTTTAGATGTAACTGATAGGCAACCCCCCCTCACCCCCATCTTCCATAGATTATGTTTCTATGGTGACCTCTAAAATCCTTGTTTTTGCATTTTGTTTCCCATCTTTCGGTGATATACTTTCCATAGACATAGAATTTCAATTTGCTGAGTAAGACAAATAAGAGGGTAAAGTGAAGGTTAATTAAAAGTCAGGCAGGAAGCATTGTCACCTTTCTCTAGTTTGATTTATATGATGCAGCTTGATCCTATACATTTATTTTAAATTTGGTCAGTGCACTTGCAGCAGAATAGTTTACCTCCACTTTTGTGCAGAACCTCAGGGGATTGCTTTGGACGTTCTTTAGCAGTCATTTCTGTTGGTAAATACGAGACGTTTGTGTCTGCATCTTCACACCCGGAAACAAGGAAGTGAGTCACAAATGTAGGTGGGATATAACATTTTAATTTAAATTTTAGTTCTCGTTTTAACAAGGTTATTAAAGCCTTTTTTATTTTAGGAATATTGCCGAAGTCTGACTTTTTTGTAAGACAGAAAGGTGCTGAAATACTCACCCATGCTTTTATTCCCAGTAATTTAGATTAGTGTCATTCTCTTATTAATGGATTACCTAAAAAGTCCATAAGTAAGCAACAGCTAGTTCACAACACTGTTTCCAGAGTCTGAGCTAAAACTGATCATTGATCATTGGCTGCCTGTATCTTTAAGAATTAATTTAAAAGTTATTTTACTCGTTTATAAAGCTTTAAATGACCCTGCTCCTCCATACATTAGAGACTCTTTAATTTTATCTTCCAGACTGATGACTGAGGTCGTCCACTGCTTCTCTTTTAAATGTTCCTTATGTGGTTCATAAAAGTACTGGTGAGAGTGCCTTCTGTTTTTATGCACCTAAACTGTGGAACTCACTGCCTCTGGATATTAGAATGGCGAGCTCTCACAGTATTTTTCAAAATTAAATTTAAAAAGTTTTTAGTTTTTAATCTTTGGTTTTTATTTCTTTTTTATTGTTATTTTTTCAATGTTTTACATTTTCTTGTTTTTGCCTTGCACATTTGGTTCATGGCTGTTGATATTGTTTTAGGTGTTGTTTCAATTTGCTATGTGAACCACTGTTCGTATGAAAGGTGCTACATAAATAAAGTTGAGTTAAGTTTCAATTAGTTATTTGAAGTTATAAAAAAGGGATATAACGTCATGATTGACAGTTGACCCCTGCTTGTGATTGAGTCGACTGGACTGAGCATCAACCATGATCACTACTGCACAGACTCCGCCTCCGAAAGATGGCAGTGGCATGTCTGGAAAATTGACTGTGACTGACTGATGTCTCTGTGTTTGTGTGCAGGTTATCGCCATGTGTACTTGGAAGGTATGGAGGAGGCTTCCATCTTTGTTCATGTAGCTGTGAATGACATCACTGGTAAGGTAGGTAATACTGAGGAAGCCTGCTGTCACATTTGCTGAAATTTCTTCTAAAATTAGAGCTTTTTAAAAAAGCTTTACACATTTACAGCTTTTCAAATTTTTGATACACATATCCATATTTTTAGTTTCAAAAACCCAGTGATATTGATAGAACATTTTACAGTGTAAAAATAAATGTTGCTAAATAACCCTTAAACCATATCTTTAGCTTTACAATATATGTGCAGTATTCTAAAATGGGATATATGGGCTTGGCCAATTTATCAATTTGGGCTGTCAACAAATAATACAGCACAAAATAATCAGTACTATACAGGTATCCTCAATCAAAGGAAAGCTTGAAAACAGGACAAAGGTATCTCAAGATGAATCTGAATTGTTCGGGAAAGAACGGCCGCAGGGCTTTCTATCGTTGGACCAGCAGGACAAAGAACTCAACTGTTAAACAATGTCTAAACACAAGCAGCTGTACAACAACTTTGCCAAAATGGAATATAGTCTAAAATTGGTTTGTGATTTTAAGTCTGACATGATCTGATTAAAGAACATTCACAACATTCAATGCCAGCTTTCAGTACTTTGCAGTTTGTCTGTGGGCACCTTTCAGTCAGTACCACAAACAATGAGATTTGGTATCCTGTACTAAGAGTGCTTTTTTCTGTAAACATTCTTGACAAATCAAGGAAATATTAAATTGGTGTGCAGTGTGGGCAAAGAAATGTAGCATACCGTACAAAATAAAAACATACACAGTAGAAACAATCCAAGACATAACCCACACATGGATATAGAGTTCTAATGAAAATATAGGTTTACATCTGATGTGATTCACTCATGGCCAAAAGTACAGTGGGTACGGAAAGTATTCAGACCCATTTAAATTTTTCACTCTTTGTTTCATTGCAGCCATTTGCTAAAATCAAAAAAGTTCATTTTATTTCT